CTGCTGCATCATCCTGCAGCAAGTCTCAGAGCTTCTAAGTACCAGATATCCTAGGACTCGTCAGGTGGGGGGCCTTCTTTGACTGTGAATGCGTTCCATTATAGTATTGCTTCACGTGAGTGTTTTCTGCCTTTTTGTTTATTTTTGTGCTCAGAATTGCATGTGCTCAGAGGGTACTGCCCTGGGCGTCTGTTATGAGCACTACCTCTGCATTAACGCAGTTCATTATCTGGTGTGTTCACGGATTCGCCCTTTCGAGGCCAGGCCACCGAGGTGGAGTGCTCTGACCTGGGTATAACAGTCGTCCGACCTCTGTGATCTTTGGTCCTTTCACAACAAAGATCACACTCCAAAAAATATACCACTTACGGGCTACTCGTGCCCGTGCCACCTCTTGGGTGGCTGAATCTTCATCATTCAATCATCAATCTCTATTTAGACCCTTTGGGGGCGTTCATTAGGTTGTGTGGTGTGCACTCTGGGCTTGCGCGCATTGCTACACTGCAGGCCAGTCCACGGGCGCCATTTTGCAACACAGGTAGTGGAGGTGACTGTGGTTCCCGTTTTCTTCGGCGAGCGTCACCAGTGCCTGGGAGTACCTGTCTGGCATTTTACCGGCAGGTCATGGTATTCCCCAGCAAGGAATACAAGGGTCTGTATTCTTCGCTGTGGATTCGACTGGTGAGGTCAATTATGCAAGCACGTCGGGCCCATCGAGCCCGCTCTCGCCTTTGGCGAGTTTGAAGGCTATTCATCACCTTTGCTACATGGCCACGATCCTTCTTTCTGCCTCGCCGTGCTGCCTGCAACCCGCAGCCCGTCCTCTACTCATGTCCATTACATCCAGCGGTCGACCCCCAAAGATGCATTCATAAATTTTAACATGCTGTTCATTCAAAACGGAAATTTTCTCAAATAGAAATTAATATTATAAGATATTAGCATATATTGTTAGGTTAGGTGTTTAGGTTCTGTTGGTGATTATTTGTATTTGTAGTACGTGGGGTGAAGCATTTACAGCGTTGTGGTTTGAATAAAATTCGTCAGTGAAGCACTTGTTCCGGAAGTGTTCGAACGAAATCAGTTGTGAGTCGTGTGTCAACAGTTTTTCATTCATAAATAGGGAGTTTGGCGGGTGCATGGAATCACTTTTGGGTCTTTGTTTGGAGGCCGGGCAACATTTACCAACCCGTTCTCGACTCAAGTCCATTACATCCAGCGGTCAACTCCACAGACGCATTAATAAATTTTAACATGCTGTTCATTCAAAACGGGAATTTTCTCAAATATAAATTAATATTATGATATATAAGCATTTTGTGCATATATAGGCATAGGTTAGGTTAGGTGGTTGGGTTCTGTTGGCGATTATTTGTATTTGTAGTACGTGGGTGAAGCATTTATAGCGTTGTGGTTCGAACAAAATTCGTCAGTGAAGCACTTGTTCCGGATATGTTCGAATGTCAGCAGTTGTGAGTCGTGTGTAAACCGCTTTTCATTCATAAAGAGGGGGTTTGGCGGGTGCATGGAATCACTTTTGGATCTTTGTTTGGAGGACGGGCTGCATTTACAGCTTTGTGGTTCGAACAAAATTCGTCAGTGCAGCACTTGTTCCGGAAGAGTTCGAACGAAATCAGTTGAGTCGTACGTAATCTGTTTTTCATTCATAAACAAGTTTGGCGGGTACACGGAATCACTTTTAGGTCTTTGGAGGACGGTCTGCTGCCTGTTAGGTTAATGACTCTTACGACCCCGAATCAGTTTGAACAAAACACTTTTTGTGTGGCGCTGGCGGGGCCGATTTCGTTGTCTTTTAATGTCGCCTTTTTTCCCGCACGTTTTCTCGAACACGTTTTACCTCCAGCCTCTTCATGTTTTTCCTAAGGCGTCTTGGTTCCTGGACTAGGTGCTAGAGTTGCTCTGCTTCCCTAGGATCATGTCTGCATCTTCGCTCAGGGATTCATTTTTAAGGCAGTGTTTTTGCCGACTTGTTTTCGGTTGTCGGGTTGGCGAGCTTCGGGCCCTTTTCTGGAGGTAGGGGGGTTTCTGCTCGTTTTGCCCTGATGGGCGTTTTCCTTCGTTTGCAATTGTCACCTTCTTTTCTGATGAAGAAAGAGTCGCGGGCTTCAGAGAGGTCCTTGGGTCAACCAAGCATCTTCGTCAAATGCTTGGTTGATTCGGCTGAGGGTGCTTCAATTGTTGTGGGCCACCACCTCAGCTTCGGTAGACGTTCTTTGGGTTGATCCACTCTCCTTGGTCTCCAATTCCCAGCCCGTCCTCTAAACAAAAATCCAAAAGTGATTCCATGCACCCGCCAAACCCCCCTGTGTATGAATGAAAAACAGTTTACATACGACTCACAACTGATTTCGTTCGAACACCTCCGGAACAAGTGCTTCACTGACGAATTTTGTTCGAACCACAACGCTGTAAATGCCCACGTACTACAAATACAAATAATTGCCAACAGAACCTAAACACCTAACCTAACAATATGCTAATATATCATAATATTTATATTTGAGAAAATTCCCGTTTTGAATGAACAGCACGTAAAAAATTATGTCGAGTCGAGGACGGGTTGGATCTGTGGGCTGACCCTGGACCGAGCGCTGGGCTATCAGAGAGACAGACCCGGGCAATGCTGGTTACCCCCATAGTTACTTATATAGATACATACATTTAGTTATCTAGTGAAGAGAGGACACAGGAGAGGCCAAACAGCCTGATGATTTCAGCAATTATATTTACATTTAAAAGTGATTTTTATACTTAAGTATAATTATTATTACTTGTTTTCTGTTAGTATTGTCAAAGTAATTTAGTGGATTATTCATGAGGATTATTGTGCTCTCTGAGCAAGGTTCAGACTAACGAAATTCTGGTGAAGTCCAGTTGTGATAGTAGGTGTTGAGACTGCACTCTCACTGTTAATAACTTAAATTTACTGAGGTTCTCTTTATATTTTTATTATGTTTGTCATTAAACTATTTAGTAAATGTATTTATATGAGTATTTTCTTGCTCCTCTCTACCTGTGATGAATACGTGATTAAGCTAGAGCTCACTTTACACATTTGTACACTGGGAATAAAGTGGTGAGAAGGCTATTGTTTTGATTCTGGCTGCGTCTGAAGCATTGGACTCCTGTTGAGTTCATACGGACAATCCGGAGACCAGTTAGAACCCACAGTGTCATGCGGGCATGACATGTGATAAAGGATTACATAGTAAGTTACTAATAAGTCATTAAGGATACATAGTTCCCCCTTGTTCCGATGGCTACACACTAAAGCCCCACTTGAATGCAGGTGTAAATATTAAGTATTAGTGGGTGGAGTAATCAGTGGTCCAAGATCTTGTGAGGTCGTTGGCCCCCTACTAGTCAGTGGTTCTCAACCTTTTTTGAGGACACCCTTATTTTCTAATACTCAAAAGACCCCAAGGGGGACGCAAACCACTGGTTGGGAACCAGGGAATTAGGTGCTACGGCGGTGCTGAAGAGTGGGGATCCTTCACGAGGATGGGCAGTAGGCAGGTAGACGGACGTCGTGTGACTCTCCATCCTACTCCACCACTCACTGGGGTACAACAATGAGTTTGGGACTCTGTTGTTCCTGTGTTATTCTGCTGACTTAGTGTGTCCTGTTTTATTCAATATGTTTGTGTTTGTTGTGATGTGTTTATCAGGAGAGAAACACAGGACACACTAAGCCAGGAGAGTAACACAGGAGTCACTAAGCCAGGAGAGTAACACAGGAGTCACTAAGCCAGGAGAGTAACACAGGAGTCACTAAGCCAGGAGAGTAACACAGGAGTCACTAAGCCAGGAGAGTAACACAGGAGTCACTAAGCCAGGAGAGTAACACAGGAGTCACTAAGCCAGGAGAGTAACACAGGAGTCACTAAGCCAGGAGAGTAACACAGGAGTCACTAAGCCAGGAGAGTAACACAGGAGTCACTAAGCCAGGAGAGTAACACAGGAGTCACTAAGCCAGGAGAGTAACACAGGAGTCACTAAGCCAGGAGAGTAACACAGGAGTCACTAAGCCAGGAGAGTAACACAGGAGTCACTAAGCCAGGAGAGTAACACAGGAGTCACTAAGCCAGGAGAGTAACACAGGAGTCACTAAGCCAGGAGAGTATCACAGGAGTCACTAAGCCAGGAGAGTAACACAGGAGTCACTAAGCCAGGAGAGTAACACAGGAGTCACTAAGCCAGGAGAGTAACACAGGACACATTAAGCCAGGAGAGTATCACAGGAGTCACTAAGCCAGGAGAGTATGTTATGATCTCAGCCTGCAGGAGAAACGAGTCTCCCTTCTTGAGAGTTATTCGTCAAGCCTGACCTAACTAGAAGGTCTAGCAAATATTGAGGTGATAACCCATATGTAAAATGGCTGGTTGGATATGTAAAACAATTTGAGATTATGGGCAATGAAGAAGAAAACAGATAAATGACTGGCGAGGAGATGTGGACATTTTGCTGGAGGCGTGAGGCTCGCTTCCGGAGGACCTTGACCTCACTTGAGTGCCAGACATCGCAGGGGGAAGCCGCGCTCCGTTTGAGCTCCCGTCAGAAGGGAACCCCTAGTGATATATCTCGAAGAGAAGAGAAGTGTGCAGACGTACCAGCTGTAGAATCGAGCCGGGGACGTGTGGTCTCAAGTCGTGGGCGATAATTAGTGAATATTAAGCCGCCCGGAGGCATTATTGTGGGCCGTGGAGCGCCCTGACCAAGCCTCGTCAGAGGAAGAAGCGCCCTCGACCAGACGATCTGTGGTAAGCACGATATACGCCAGTTCATAGTGATTGCTTGTAGTTGGTCGTGTGCCCAGCGACAGTAACGATGTTTATTTATAAGTTAGACATGTTTTAATAAGGCAGAAGGCCTGAAATAAGAGAGTGGAGAGGGAGGAACACGGAGCGACGTCCATCCCCTCTGAGCGCTGGCGGGCGACTGAGGGAGCCTGGCTCCTGACGGAGGAGGACCCTCCCAG